TTTAAATGAAATAGAGAGAAATAAAGAATCAAAAAGAAAATCGTACAAAACGACAAAATTGAAAATATTGCAGGCTCGGTTTGATTGAGCCTGTTCATGAAAACAACAAGACAAAATCAACTTGAGTTCAGCTGTAAAATAATAAGGTATATGTTTAAAGTGGTTAAAGTGGTCAATGATGTTTAGAAATCATTCATTAACAAAAGAACGTTTTTCTTCGTCTATTATTTTATACATTCTTTACAGCACACAGTCGGGCATGTAACATATCAAACAGTCGGATATGTAACATATTAAAGATCAGATATGTTCTTTCTCTCTTTTGTCACAAAGAAAACAACTTTATCACAAACATCTCCTAAATATTTGTTCCGTATAAAATGATTAAAGACATGTAGAATAAGTTTTTGATAATTTGATTAACTTCATATCGTCATTAAATTATATATTTCATAATTAAACATTTACACTTTAAAATATTGGTACATACATGTAAAGCTGCCTTTTTTAAAGATCTAAACATTTAATTTCAAGCAAATTCCTGTCATTGTGGCTTGGAATAAGTACAAGTACAGCAAATGTCTACAAGTTGAATATTTCACTATTTATTCTATTGATATGATAAAGAATACATAATTTTTCAATATTTCATACTATACTGATATCTCACTTAGTTTATTGACAAGTAAAACTTTAAATATATTCCCAAGTAAATGGAAGTGTACTTTGTGTGATTCATGAAACGTTTCAAAAAAAATCTTTTTGCATTTTAGATTAGATTATTTCTGATTTACAATCATACCTGCAAAACATTGATATTCATTATTTTCTAATATAACATTTCATTAAAATGCAGCTGCAGTATTAACATTGCACGCACTAAGATTGCATGATTTAAAATAAAATTAAAAAATCGATTTAAAACGCATTATGGCTTTATAATGAACTATTAATAAATGTGAGCAATCATCATCAAATATGCTACATGTATTCATGAAATCATGAATAAGATATTTATGACTCGCCATTTTGATATTGAACAAAAATCGAAAATATGATAAAATAATTTGCAGTGACTTTAAAATCGGATCAAAGTTTGTATAAATGGGACAAAAACGCTTTCAAAAATACCCATTAACCTAAAAACACAATGGGTAAAATAGTACTGTTAGCACTAAACTCAACAGTTTATTTGACCAAAAACTAGAGTTTTTTTTATCCTTTTTGATATAAATTTATGATAAAATGAACTTTGCTTTTAAGTAACATGATAAAACGGTTGCCAATATTTGCATGTTATAGGAATTCATCCAAAGACACATGCACATTGACCTGCGCTCATCCCATGCATGTTTTAACCAATGGTGTTTGAATGCACAATTTCTATTGCAAGTCAGTAATATGCACTGCTTGGCTGCACATCGAATTTTCCAGCAAATTCCAGACGATTTCAATGGTTTATGGAATTCTTGTATGACAAATGCAATTCAACGGTCTTCAACCTTGACAAAACAGTTTCTTAAACATTAATAAGGAAATTGTTTACAAATAAAAGGCAGAATGAACTCTGGCTTGAAAAATATTGCTGGCAGCAATAACATGGTTTTAGAGAAATTTATTGTGTCACCTTCTCGACTTTTGTCGGTCGTGTCGGCGTCGTTGTCGGCGTCGTTGTCGAAGTCGGCATCCCCAAAAGCTTGTCTGGAGCATAACTCAGTCACTATAAGTCTGATTTACTTCAAACTTGGTATGCATGCTTCTTTCATTAACCCAAAGTGCAGTGCACAAGGACCGGTTCTCTGCACTTCATAATTTTTGGATTATTGCCCTTTGTTAATTTTCATACTTTAATTTTGTCCGGGCCATTAATCTTCAACTATAAAAGCTATGGACTTGGAACTTCATAGGATGATAGATCTCATTAAGAAGAAGTGCAGTGCACAAGAACCGGTACTCTGCACTTATTAATTTTTGAGTTATTGCCCTTGGTTAATTTTTATACTTTATTTTTGTCCGGGCCATTTCTCCTTATGTATAAAAGCCATGGACTTGAAACTTCATAGGATGATAGATCTCATTAAGAAAAAGTGCAGTGCACAAGAACCGGCACTCTGCATTTCTTATTTTTTGAGTTATTGCTATTTGTTAATTTTCATACTTTATTTTTGTCCGGGACATTTCTAATAAAGTTTAAAAGCTATGTACTTGAAACTTCATAGGATGATAGATCTCATTAAGAAGAAGTGCAGTGCACAAGAACCGGTACTCTGCATTTATTACTTTTTGAGTTATTGCCCTTTGTTAATTTTTATACTTTATTTTTATCCAGGTCATTTCTCCTAAAGTATAAAAGCCATGGACATGAAACTTCATAGGATGATAGATCTCATTAAGAAAAAGGCAGTGTACAGGAACCGGTACTCTGCATTTCTTATTTTTTGAGTTATTACCCTTTATAAATTTTCATACTTTATTTTTGTCCAGGCCATTTCTCATAAATTATAAAAGCTATGGACTTGAAACGTCATAGGATGATATATCTTATTGATAAGAAGTGCAGTGCAAAGAAACCGCTGCTCTGCATTTCTTATTTTTTGAGTTATTGCCCTTTGTTAATTTTCTTGTCCTGGCCATTTCTCCTAAACTATATTGTTCACAAGGCGACACATCCGACTCGCGGAGTTCTAGTGAGGATTTAGATTTTATATCAATGTTTATACGAGGTTATGTAATCTGTCAAAAGTGGTTACAAATTTATTATACTGCATAATCACTTCCTTTCTTTAACATGCATATTTGATATATGGACGGCAACGGTGTAAATAAGATATATAAACTATCAAATTGTCCAATAGACATGAACGCTTAAACGTGCAGTGTTATTAAGTGTCACATAACCTGTCACTAAAGATATTTATGCTTTCCTTATAAATACATCTGCAATATTTCAGTATGTCATTGGCATAAATTATCTTATTTCAAGTCACATGCTAGACGATTTTAAACGTCCAAGTATCATTTTATGTGTTTAACTTTTACATTTCTAAATATTTAAGATTATTATATTGCACTTCTTATTAATGTGAATATTTTTCCTTTAGTTAAGTGATAAAAATTAATATTCACAGTTACACCAACAGAGTCGAATGCACTTTTTTTTTTGTAAAAGTGTTACTAGTCTAATGATCAAATTTAAGTTTAATACCGATGAAAATTCGGTAAAATTAATGTATTTCTTTAAATCGCCTTAACCAATAGTCATTTTTCCATTTCAAAGATAAAGCTTTTTTGAGCGAGTAACTTAAATGGTTAAGTGATATATTTGGATTATGCAATATTACAATTTGTCACGAAATAATTTATCTTAAGAGTTCATACAAGATACTTAATAAGATAAAATGTAACAAAGACATTACTGGCTATATTGGAATCTATGTCCCACGCCTTCCTAATTCATACTGGTATTCAACACGATCGTATAATTCGATGTATTTTTGTGTATTTAGATATTTTAAACAATTTTTCCATTACCTTTTGTCATATTTTATTATTATCACTGTATCTTTTATTTATATACGAGTATGAGTCCTTACTTGATCTCATTCATTGCCAGATAATTGTATCCACAAGTATTACCTGTATGTATAGCTCAATTCGGCATGCTTGTATAAAGATGTTTACTAAATAATCATTACAAGTTATATGCCACCGTAAATAAATGCTTATCAAGTTTGTGAATGCAATAAATTCGACTCCTCTTAACCGAGAATGCATCATTATAAGTCAGAAAAGCCCGGCGATGCCTGATTAAGTACTGAAAGTAATAACCTTAGGCTTACACGTTCGTTCCATGAAATCATACCATATGAACCGACGTGTGAAGCTAATATTGGCATAACCTCGGAAGACATTCTTAAAAGACAAATAAGATTTGCCAAATTGGCATATCAATTAAACTTTCTCTTACGGCTGTCTGAATTTGATATATATGCTACATTTGTGAATTACATCATGCGTCGTGAGTAATTACGCACCAAAAGGACTATTGCAAATAGGAGCCTTATAAACATAGCTTGTAAACCGTTGATAAATGAATTGATAAATGAAATGCACAAGACAAAATGTTATTTTTTATGAAAGAGGACTAAAACAAAAGATATGATTTAATTATTTTATTAAGTTTAAGCATTCATTTACTTTGACTCGTTTTTTTTCAGTGTATCAAGAAAGTAAATATGTAAAAGGACAGAGCTGTGAAAAGAGAATAATATACATACATTCTTTCATTATCAATATTATTTATTCCACATTTAACAAATCATGACAAAAGCGACACCAACAGAAATAAATGACTTTCTATAACAATTGTGATAGTGAATCACAGAACTTCGGACTTTGAGTAACATTTATTACTATATTATATGTATCGTATAATGTCTAAAATGTACGAGTAAATGTAACTATAATTATCATATTATCACGAATAAGATAAAACCCATTGTACCTATTGTATTTCTTATATAAATAATCTAATAAAACTTATCACTCTATATATCTGAAAGGCACTTATCCATCATAACAATTCCAATGTATAACAAAATGAAAGTATACAAGTGTGTTTAAAATAGAAAAAAGTAAAATAAGCCTGTAATCATTTTAAATGTAATTGGAAATTAAATACCATTTCTTTAACATCATTTACGTGGTTTTATTGAAGCAATAATTATATCATCATTTTTCAAAGAATTTATCATTGGACTAATGGGTCAATGTAATATCTAATACTACTATGATCGCAAGAGGCGATTAAACGGGTTCGAGTCTATGCATCTATTAACCCCAGCAGGTGAGGTGGTTTGACCCCTTAGGCTGCTTTAAGTTTGTATTGTCCGAGGTTAGACATAATTAACTTTCCTGTATCGACGCCACACGACCTAAATTGTGTTGCTGCGCTGTACCTAAATAAATTACTATACTGTATATGCTAAAAATCAACTTACACCGCAAAGATCAGTACCACATTTGTCAAACGTAAATGGGTCAAGGTCACACGGTCCTGTACACTGAAATAAAAGATGTGAACTAAACAATCACAACAATTTGTTTATAGTAATTAATTTGTTTTACATGTCGTAACATTGGACATCTCAAACAATGCATTATATGTCTGTACAATGTATGAATTGTGTAGTTTAAAGAATATTGCGGTTTGATGTTTCAATTATTTCAGAAATTTTTCAGAATACTTCACCTGATGTACATCTATGCGTTTGTAATTTTTTAATTTTAAATGTTTTTTTTTAAAGATATCTAAGATGCATGTTGGCATTGTTAGTCAGAACTTAACATAATATATACATTACCTGGCGACAAGATGTATCTTTGCAATTTTTGGTTGGATATTCGTCATCATTTGTAGATCTTACTGTACCAAACTAAAAAGTACAAAATAACTATTAAATTACATTTAAAAAAAACAGTCATAGCTAGAACTTTAAGACAGTTTAATCTGACACTCAAAATTAACATATCTAATTATAAACAATCAAGAAAAATATGTCTATATGATACACATGGCTTTCAGCAATCATCTCTGAGAAATTATGGATCAACTTTTTGATAAAATACAAATTTAAAATGTATTGTTAGCAATCTATATCTGTTCATATTCAATCGATATATTGCAATTATAAAAATGACGACAAATTGTAAGGCACATGTGAAAAAACAGGATTACTGACGAGTTATAAATCTCACAGAATGCCTAGAAAACAAAAACTTGTTTAACTTTAAAAAAATTTAAACCTTTTTTGTCTTTTTAATGTAAGCAACTACATTAGAGATATATTCAAATTCTCGCTATATTTTCTCAAAATCCACGTACAGATTTTATCAAGGACATCAACAGAAGAAAAAACATTTGTAATCACTGAAGTAAAGGCTAAGATGAAAACAGAGAACTTAATACATTTGTTAAAATACAGCCTTGATACAGCTTACTTAAATTGTTTTTATCTTTATTTTGACGGAAACAAATGTGAATAAAGATATAATGTAGAAACAAGAACAATATCTGTCATGACATATGAATATGATGCAACATTGAGAAGAATAACAAAGAAAAAACTTTGAAAGGATGTGCGCAGCTTGTAGGAGTGATAGATTACTTGAAATAATTTTATAGCCACAACATATTATTAAGATATAAAACATGACATTGTTCGCGCTGAGAAATTGTTTCCTGAAAAATTTAAACCGAGGGAATCGACCCTATGCATGTGATTAGACCATTAGCACATTTCTTGTTGATACGGCAGAAAACACATTTTAAGATCAAAAGTAAATGTTGAAGTTGAGATAGAAACACGTGTGATAAAAATGAAAACATAACAGTGCAAGATATTCCTGGACGATTCTTTGCTTATGCGATATAAGACTTTTATTTAACAACGAACAGTTTCATATCAAGGAAAAGAGATCGGTTAAAAATATGTATATTTGTGAGTTATATTTATGTCTACTAGTAAATTTCTATGTATGCTAGTCGATAACCTTTTCGTTAAAAGCCTTAGCAAATAGTATCCTTTTTTTTAGTCAAGTAGGAATATTTGTTTTCAAACAAACATAAAGAAGCATGATGCAAGCATCAAAAAGAAAACACAAAAAAAAAATGGGCGACACGCAAAGAATTTGATCCAAGGTTTGCACCCTAAATACTTAACAAAAGTGTGTCATTTTTAATCGGATACATCATGTGACCTGGAGGCTTGGCCCAGTTTGTTGAACTGTAAACAAAAGAATAAGACTCTGTCTTGCCAGATGCAAGACAATGTTTAGTCAGTAAACGAACTTAAGTATTTACTTTACCGTACAGGATCCTGAGTCATCATCAATAGATGACAGGCACAAGTATCACACCTGGGAAGAAAAAATATGACCAGATTAATAAAAGATCTGTGTTCATCTTAAAAGTGTCAGAAACCAAAAAAAAAAATGTAAATAATGACCCCTTTAAAAATATACTTTAAACTTAAAGTATATTTTTAAAGGGGGTCATCATTTACATTTTTTTTGGTTTGTGACACTTTTAAGATGAACACAGGTTTTTTTATCAATCTGGTAATTTTTTTCTTCCCAGGTGTGATACTTGTGCCTGTGCATATAATAAAAGCTTATTGCTTAGGGTTGCAGACATGTCATACATAAAAGAGGACCTAAAATGAACATCAGGGGGACACCATAGGTATTCAGAGAGAAGGAGTACCAGCCACATTCACCAGCTGCTATCAGAGATAAGACTTGAACCATGCAAGAATGTCATTACATATGGCAGATGCTTGAAGAGATGAAGAAGAAGAAAAAAGAACTTCTTCATGTGCAGTTTAGTGTGATCAACTGTACCAAATGCTTTTTGTAGATTTAAAAGTATCACGCAATACTGCCTTTGTCCATTTCAAATTAAATGCAATCTATTAAATGAAACAAACATGTGACAGTTGAAAAACCACTTCTAAACCCTGACTGAAACTGCCTGACCATGACTCGAACCCATGACTTTCAGAAGACCAACTGAGCTATCCGGCCGGCTACACATTTTCTCTTTAATAATGAAACAGTTCTAAACCTAAACCTTTTTCCCCACTATATTGATTCATGTACTTGAATTTCTGATTTTTACAGAGCATAGTGAATTAAACTCATGGTTATTTGCAGTAACAGGATGAGAAAAACTTTCAGCTTGACCAGAACTCAAACCTGTGACCCACAGAATAATGTACCGCGGCTGTAGCGATTGAGCTATCTGGCCGCTTACACATTTTCTCCCCTAAATAGTGAACAGTTCTAAACCGTGACAGATATTGAGATTTTTAAATTAACAGATAATTAATTCTTAATTAATAAATAAGAAAAAAAACCTTACATACTCATAGTCTTAATTCAAATAACAATTTATATAATTATTATTGTATATAATTATTTTTACTAAAAAAGGGCTAAGACAGTTATTGGTTGTGCCATTATTTATAACAGGTCAATTTGAAAGAGAATATAACTGTGCTAATACATGTACAATATCTATGATAAGAAATTTTATGAAGGCTGATTAGTATTTCACATCAAGGGCACCGGGCGAAAACATGAAAACGCAACAAACGAACCACTTTGTTGTAGATTGTATTTTCATGTTTTCATCTGGCGCCCGGTTACTTTTTGTACTTTGTTGGTTTTCATGTGGCACAAATCACCCACTATAAAATTTAGTGTACATATTTATTCAAGGACAAGTATCAGTCTACTCTATGAAAAGTCTGTTGTCGGGTTGACTCAGGAGACCTGGAGATTGAGACCGGTGTCCCTCCATTACAAATAGATAAGGCAGAAGCTGTCCTTTGAAAACTATGCACATTTTAGAAAAAAATTAAAACTATTCAGAACATGATTTTTGAGGCTTTATCAATTATATTGCTTGATCCAAGTTTCAGGACATTTTCTATCAATACATGTATTCTCATTTATAACTTTAAATGAAAGTCTCATCTCTTTCATAATAATGACATAACTGCAACTCTTTAAATTCAGAAATATTATAAGTCTCATCATACCAATATACTAAGATATAAATGTATGCACATAACATTCATAATTCCAAGTTTCTATTAAATAAATATGAAAATATTGGGTATACAAAGCCAGTAAAAGTATATATATATATATATATATATATATATATATATATATATATATATATATATATATATATATATATATATATATATATATATATATATATATATATATATATATATATATATATATTCACTCATCAGGGCCTCTATGCTTTTGATGACCTTACAACTGGTAAATTTTATTAAACAAAAATTGTAAGTAATACCTAAGATAGACAGAAAAGAACAAATAATTTAGTAAACATGAGTTACTTCCCCTTGAAATAAAGAAAACATGAACACCCTAAACATCAAAATTAAGAAATGTTGCAGGCTCATTTTAATTATGCCATGCAAATTAATGATAAAGTTTTCATAAAAAAGCAGATGGCCATGTGACAACAGTAATTGCAGAAAATCGGATAGCTGTCAACATCCGGATACTGGTACACTTTGTAAAAACAACCATTCTGTTCAACAGATATACGTAATATGGATAAAATCAATAGGATAATCGTTTACAACAGTCCATTACCTATTCTAATACTCATTTGCAGGTGAACTTTCTTCTTGTAGGAAAGTTTTGAAAATATATAAATGAATGAGCATCAATGTAGACCACAATGATATTCGAAATCTGGGTTTTAGTATTGTCAATAAAACAAAGGGACAAGCTGTTAATCTGAGCCTGCAATTTCGTGAAAATAGTATCACAATGCACATGCTTTTTATATAAAGTTATTAAATACAAATATAACAACATATTTGTTTACTTGGTTTTTACGAATCAAAATAAATATAATTAACACAACATGAAATTAACTGCTAATAATAACAGCTCCTTCCACAGGCTAAAATAAAAAGCATTCCATAAAAGACGACGCCGCTCACCGGCGTCGCCAATAAGGTTAACGAAAGGAAACTTCAGTATTCTTGTATAATATATATGTTTGCTTAAATACTTGCAGAAAAATTGTTTACATATCTGTCATCAACTATTTTTTACATACAAATAAGAATGTTCATGTGATGTGTTGACATCCTGCTCAATAATTTGTCAAAATTGCAGACAAGCTTTGACAAATGGACTTCGCAATAACAGACATTGTCAACGAGATATCTGGACTTTTTATCTATAGATGGCATGTGGAAAACCAGTAAGTTACATCACAACTGGTTTAAGCCTAAGGTATCGTGTCACTACGTTATATGATAAAGTAGCTTAGTTATAAAGCAAAACAAATATTACTGAATGTTTGACATTATTTATGAGCTAGTCGTTGTTTCATTTCATTTATCCTTCATTGCAATGCTTTATGACTTGGCATAATGAATTAAATGAAAGAAAAAAACTGTTAGAAATACCTTTTATACATATAAAATCTTATGTATTTTATAATACATGTTTGGGAGAAGGACATTATGCGTAAACAGTCATTTATATATTATATTTTGTTTTCAGCTGTTTTTACTCATACAAATCTCACAAAATCACATGGTGTTGATCTGAAAATGGAAACTGTTTTAAACCAGTTATAACAACACACATAGATATCAAAGATTCTAATTACATTCTTAAAGACTTAGTATTAGCGTTCTTAAAAAGAGTTGGCTTCCTAGACTTTTTATCAAAAAAGTTGAAATTATTGTGTAAACAAAAACAATGAAATAAACACATGGAAAGAAAGGACAAAGAAGACACTTATTAATATAATTTACTGTGTTCATGACGATATTAAAACTGCTTAGGGATAAGCTTTGATTTCCAT